AGGAGGTTAAGATGAGGAATTTTCCAGATGAGGAGCGTGCGGAAGACGTCGGCCAGTCTCGGGTGTTCATCTCGGTACCTAGGATCTGAAGTGAGTGATTCTTCTCATTTTTGGGAACATAGCAGCTTTGCACTGTGGAAACCAACCAGCTAATAAATGCCGTCTCCAAAGAAATCTCGACCACAAGGATCCGATCCACAGCGCAAAATATAGGCGAAGTTGATTTAGTTCGCGGTGAAGTAACGCCTTGCTACAGGTTCTTCCTCCAAATGGACGCGCATTCCTCAACGTGACTCTTCTCTCTCTCTACAATTTTTACTATCTTTAGTGACCTAACCTGCAAGTCATTTTTCATTGCTTTACATGACGAATCGTAATCACCGACATTCGAATAAAGTAATGCGAATTGATCCCATTCAAACGCCAGTAGAATAGATCGCACAGCTATCCCAAGACTGTAAAACAAATAATAAACGTTATGTGTAGGAGTTATCAACTATGTAGGCTGGTGCGTGTAACATGCCTGGGAAGGCAGTGATCATTTTTTGGAAATGCTCCAGTACGGTAAAGTTCTCACAACGCGTTTAGAGTTGGCGATCATAAAAGCGATTAGGCGATGACTCAAAAGAAAACATACGTATCGATTAGGCGATAGGCGAATAAGCGATTTGCGAGTAGGCGATTAGACGAGTTATGAGTTATTTGTCGATCCGCAACTGAGCGATCGCATAATCGCCAGATCGTCTAATCGTCAAATCGCCTAATCGCCTTAGCGCACGCACGATCGCCAGCTCTGAAGCTACCTATCCGTGGATAGATTTCCGCCCTAACCCTTTGTCCTGATATTTCTCTGCTGTGATTGAAGAACTGACCAGATCTAACGAATTATGCATGCTCACCTGAAAGAGTTCACGGACAGTACACCGGTGGTTGGAAAGCGATTGACGTTGTCAATCACTGAAGATGTGCTGAGACCCCATGTTAGAATTGGAACGTTGTAATAAGCAGATATAATGGCCGACGTAATAGTTGCTGGAACAAAATACTGCTGGTTATTTTGGAAAAACGCAGACAGACGCTACGCATCTCCTCATTTAAGCTGGTTTCTTTTTTTTACTTTTTCAGAACCCCGTATTCACCTACCGTAATCTACTTTTCTCGTATTCAGGTGCCATACTCTGTTTCCCCTACTAATCTGCATCAGCATTACTCCTACCGACCAGCTAAAAGCAAAGGGACACGCCCACTAGTCTCTGACTGGCTGGCTCGTGTCTGCACGCAGTAACCTTTGTGGTGGTAGCCAATCACGGACGAGTGGGCGTGTCGACACTGCTGCGGCCCGTAACTCGGTGGTTTCTGCTGGAGCATTATCTGAGTATTCCAACGCCGGTGCTGCCACCTCGTCGAGAGTGAGGAGGCGCTTTCGCGGGTCGAGGCGTTAGTTGTGGATTATAGAAGCTGCGAGTGCACTTTTTGCGCGCATTGAAACTACAAGGGCAGCACGTATTTAATTCCATCCGAAGTCTGCCTCAGTCATTGAAAGGATTCATCCTCGTTACATCATCGCGGGTAAGCCTTTGAGTGGAGATTTGGCGCTGGCGCGCAACTAAGAAGTCGAGGCACATCGCACAATGTGGACCAATGTACCACTAGACTACCGGAATCACTCGCTTTAGACCATCATAAGGGATCATCAGGAGCGCATCGGTGATGACTCCCCATCGCTGGAGTGATAGCGAGCTCGTCGCAAGTGATACGGTCCAGATCACTATTGTTCGAATGGAGACGTGCCAGTATATCGGCGCCTCAACGTGCAACGGAAGCGCGAAGATTGCCACAACGATGCGTACAATATTGATCGTGAGGATTTGGAATCCCTTGGCCTCCATACTTATCAGGGGCGGAAAGTGGTGTAGTGGCAAGTGCCACGCTTACCACGCGACGTGGCGGTCCGTGGTTCAAATCCTGGGTCGCGAGTCCCCGACCAAGCCTTCCATCATTCCAGGGTCGGTTAATTGGTACCAGACTTGTCTGGTCGTTACTGACTTGAACATGGCTGACCCCCAAGTCATTGTATAGGCCACATTGCATTCAAGGCTACTACAAACGTACAAATGGAAGTAGAATACGTGGCGCACCCCGAAAAGGGATTGAACGGCAAATCCTTCGCCCCTTTTTATCCATCATTATCAGGCACACAATTGGGGAGCGGTCCGCGTCACTAGGTGGGACAAGCGCTGACGAATAAGAAGGAGAAGTTGGCCGCCTCGAGTTGAACAAGCTGGTTGAGAGGTAGCAGTCGGACTCGAAGTTCTACTCTAAAACTCTGCTGTGTACATATGGGAGAAAAAATATGTATTTTTCTGTTGGACGAAAGTATCTGATTGCTGCATGTTCGTGTAAAACTAACGGTCGCTGCAAGTGGGTCCGATGATGACATTCACATGGTGTTCGTTGATAAGCTGGAAGGTTCCTCCGGCGGCTAGCTGCTCGTTACATTCGTCAAACAGTATGGAGAATCTGAAAGATTTTGAGTATAGCATACATTACGAGTGCAACTTTTTTAAGCTCTTTTCAGCAGCTCCAAAATCGAACGACTCCCTAAAACATCATGCGAAGGAGGAATTGCGACTTACTGGTAGCTCGTACGGGCAGGAGCTCTTCTTTCTTGATGCGATCTTCAGCAATTAGTACAGCAGATCACAGAGGTTCTGAAAGGGTTGGGAGTGTCTAATGTGGTGTTTTTGGGAAAGGGGGCGTTATTAAAGGCGTGGTTTAGGTGTTAATGTGCTTCAAAGTTCTTTCCCTCCGGTTCTTAAACATGCCCAACGCTGGTAGTGTGGAGGATGGTAATCGGTATTAAACAGTAAATATTACAAACAAAAATCAAAAAATTACTTCGGCAAAATCAAAGGTGCACGATTTCACTCTGCATGCAGAGGAAAAAGGTTAAATCAACCCCGAGAAACGAAATAATCCCTCTTATAATTTTTAATTATTCTTGGCAGATATTCTAAATTATCTTTGGAAATTGCGAATTTAAAGAATAATTCTTATTATTTAAAACCTCTCACGTTATGTACTCTGACACGTATATACCCCGCGTAAGATTCCGAATGTTCTGACCTGTAGCCGATAGCGGGCTCAAGTTCTGTGACATTATCGACAAATAGCAAACCAACTCTGATCACTTCAGCTCCAGTGGCATAGTTCAACGACCATATCTAGAAAATGAAGGTTCCGAAAAATCCGATTGATATTGTCTTTTATGAATCTGAGCCCATGAATGTGACGCGCATGCGCGTCGCACTGTCCCCAACGCGTTATTGAGCTTTAACACTCTTAAAACTATTTCCTAGAAAATTTGATCTTTTCAAAGAGCATTTCCAAGTCTACCACCTTCTGTGTTAGGACTCGTTCTAGAAGAGTTTAATTTTGAGGATTTTTGTGCCTTTGAGATACGTGTGAAAACCGTTTTTTTTTTAACTGAGGTGAACATTGTGTTCAAAAACTGGATTGAAATGATTATTCTATTCATGAAACTATTGGAAACAATGGAATTTTCGTAAACTAATCCTTAGTTAGGACCGATCACTTACCAGAAAACAAAATGGCAGGGCAGGATGCTTCATAGTGGGCAGTGCGTGACTGACATTAACTAAGGGAAAGCTATATGGTGAAGCCTTTGATTTTCTTCATGAATACTAGAAAGGACATTCTGCTGATATTGTAGGTTTCGGTGTCAAGAAGCCTTACCGAGACAGTTAGGCGATTGGCGGATTAGTGCTTATGAAGAATCACGTCCGACACATTTCCTCAAGACGTATTAAAGATTGTATGTAAGGGGGACTATTTGTATGGGGACTAGTT